CCCCTACTACAATATTATTTGTTGTCACTATTTAAATGTGTCCTTATTTGCTCTGACGATGTAGCTGTGTTTTCTATGGCTCTGTTTAGTCTATTTGCACAACAGCACAGTAGTGCTGTGTATAGTGTTAAACAGGAAAAAAAACTTGTACTGTATTTATTTATCAAAGATTTTGTTTATAATTTGAAATGTGCAACAGTTTTAATCAGGAGAAAAACCTGTACTGTATCTCATTTATCAAAAAATTTTGTGCAGCTGTTATTTTTTGTGCTGCTGTTTATTTGTAAAAAGGGAGGGAAACCCCTGTGTTTCAATTATTTGTTGCTCAAAAAATGTTTAATAGTGTTTTAATGAAGGCTTTAACTCTCAATTAAGCACTTTGGGTTTTAGAAAAGCGCAACAGAAGTTAAATATATTATTATTATCAATATTAATTAGCCATTTATGGGAAATACCGGATAGATATCGTATACCATTATTCCTCCTAAAAATACTGGGATATGATAATTTGCCCATATAGCCCAGCCCTAATATGCGCTGAACATGCAGTGAATGCAATAAGGATGTCACGATTTCGAAATTTATGCTCAATTTCTCAATTTCGATTATCGCATCAAAAAATAGAATCGTCGATGCTGCCACGCCCCCAAGCCAAGCGGGGAAAAAACATGCTTGTTTAACTAACGGCAGACGCAGGAGACCCGTCGACAGAGCTTAAACCCATTTTGGATTTCCAGTGAGTTATGTTGACAACGTTCGGGTTGTCAACAAAAAAAAAAAACAGTTTTGCAAGCTCTGCTATGTTTGTATTAGGGTTCGTACGATAGACAACACCGGCATCGCGATCCTCCGCTCCGCCCCCGTTGCAAATCTGCTCGCGAAAAGTTCACAATCAGGCCCTGTTTACACTAATATGTCTTTGTTTTTAAATGGCATTTTAGAACGAGAACGATTTGACATTTATAGTGGCGTGTAGCATTTCTGAGCAGCCCTCCTTCCTCTCTACCTCTTAAAATGCACATCACGTGACCACACAGACACAGACGCACACACAGCCATGCGCTCGAGACAGGCAGTCAGCGGTTCAGTAGACTGCTTCAATCTTTCACTCACTTGTACTTAGTCATTTTAGCGAACACCTCAGATACTGTTGGCTGGTTCCTGTTGGTTGTGGGTCTTTTTTACCGACGCCATTATAACGACACAGATCACTGTCTATTCACGAGTCCCGCAGAAAAAGTGATTGACAGGTGGTGATGATGTGTGTATCTTGCCTTATTTCCTTTACTGTATGATTTGTTTATGGGTAAAACAAAGACCATGCAGGTCAGGTAGTTTAAACGGTAGGCTACAAATAATTAATTGGTCATTAATTAATTAATTATTCATAATCGAATCGAATCGTGCCTTTAAAATCGAAAATGTAATCGAATCGAGGATTTGGAGGATCGTGACACCCTTAGAATGCAACGCATCAAGATTCGCATACCTTCTTCGAAAACAATCGATTGATCTCGGCTGGCGGATAAACATTCACCACAAACGTGTACTTTTCACTCTTCAGCCATTTGCATTTCTCGCGGTCACAAAAGCTTCCTGTCATCTGACAGCGGAAACCCTTGAGTGATTCACAGCTAATATGAACCAGGGAAAGGGAAGACCGATTTAGCACTTTTTTTAGAAAAAAAAAATCTAAACAGGTCTGGCTACAACTATTTTATGCAGTCGCACAAATGCTTCCAAATTTATTATGAAGTCGCGTAGATTAAATTTCGGGCGCATATTCGACCAAAATGGTCGCAATTTCGAGCCCTGTTTAGCATTCAGAAATGTTTTATTTTGAATATATTTTTACATAAATTGGTCTTACACTTACAGTATGTATCAACCACTGACATATCAACCACTTGGTAGAGGTTGATACTTTAGAAATTATGGGATGTGTTGAAAAATGCATTGAGTGTGTTAACTAGCGACATTAGGAATTAAGAAGTGCAATCCAAACATTTTTTTTCTTAGTCGGTGGTAAAAAAAGTTGAAAATAAAATGTTGGTTTTTATTATGAAGGAAAAATACTAAACTACGTAGCCCTGTGTGAAAGTGTTTGCTTCGTACATCTTATAACTGGGCCACCCTTTGTAGCAACAACTGCAATCAAGCGTATTCGCTAACTAGCAATGAGTCTCTAATGTTTTGTTCACACCAGACACAGCATGCGCAAATAAATTGCGTTATTCACGTGTAAACAGACGCGTGGCCAGTTTGAGTTTACTCACTTCATTAACACGTCAAATTCGCTTCATTCATGCATGAAGTACACGTCAAAATAGACGTGGATTTGCGTCTTCTGTCTGCATAGGTTTGTTCAGCGTTGTGTCTGATTGCACTAGATCAGGGGTGTCGAAACTCGGTCCTGCAGGGTTGGTGTCCTGCAGATTTTATCTCCCAACTTGCCTCAACACACCTGCATGGTTGTTTCTAGAAAGCCTATTACCATATCGTTGCATAAGTTCTCAAGCAGCAACTTTTAGGAAACTCGTTCATCATATCATCATTTTGTTAATGAATACGAATTTCTCATTCACACCGTTATATTTTAAACTTCTATAGCTCTCGGTCTAAACATCACACACCTTGTAGATAGGCTGTCGATTTCATCATTCCTAAAGTACAGCATATTACTTCATGTCCAAAAGTCACTTCAAGTACATCGCATTGATACATATGACAATCTGGTGGTCTGTTAATGCACAGAGACTTGGACAGTCTTTTGCATTGAGTTGCTGCCTCGACCTTTTCCTGTTATTGGATTACCCTTGATGTTGTTTGCTCCTGACATGATGTTTGACTATTCTACACAAATGCCGCATTTAGATCCTCACTCCTGTTGTCATGCTCAGTCTACTACAGGAGACGTGAAGTAGATCCAGCAGTTTGGCTCATCTGGCTCAGTCAACATGAGTGTGCCCTTGAGGACCACATGAATTATCTTTACCAGTCCCTTCCAAGACTTTTTTTTCCTGAGTTTTGCTTGCTTGCCTCACAGATCTTTCTGAATGTACTCATTGAAAATTAGATCGTGGACTGATTTAACCATTAAGGACCACCCTCATTCTTTTATAGTCCTTGGTGGTCCGTCTTGGTGACTTTTTAAATTTTGCCCTGATCCTCATTGAATCCGCTAACCCAGAAAATGGCCGCCACCAGTCCCATCAAATCACAATATGGTCACCGCAAGTTTGACTGGATCCATGACAGGATGACACTTGGAACAGGAGGTGCCACTAGTCTCACACAGGATGGTCGCCGCCTGTTCTTCATTCCACAAGATCAGGCTGCCTCTAGTCTTACCAGCTCTCATAACGGTTGCAGCCAGCTCACCAGATGGCTATGGCTTCCTGTCCCAAGTCTTTTCCTGTCATGGTTTCTGTTCCTGATTTGCAGGAATGGCCACCACCACCTGAGCTTTCATCATCATCTGAGACGTCTTTTCCAAAGTCGTCAATGCCGCTGCCTGGGATTCGAAAGCGGCCAACGCCAGATCTACACCTGCATCAATAGCACCACCTGAGCTCCAAGAGTGGTTGCCAGCACTAGAGCTGTTTTTCCATCCAATGCCTCCTGAACCAGAGCATCCTGACCCATCAAGGTTTACGATCTGCTTGTCGCACCAAGATCTGCACTCCATCCACTCCCCCTGTTCTGCCTTTACTGCACCTCCATTCTAGACTGTCCAAAAGAGACAGTGTTTTGAATTGTTCATTGTTTGCAGCCTTCTTCAACCGTTGCCTTTTATTGGAATACTCTTTGTGGATTACCCCTGATGTTGTTTGCTCTTATTAGGATCTTTGCCTGCTTTGGTTTGCATTCGGATCTTCACTCCAGTTGTCACGCTCAGTCTATTACAGTGATTTACACCAAAGGAGTAAAGATTCAAGTTCACTTTTCAGGTAGTTTTTAATGTCCTTTAAGCAAAATTTTAGGGATTCTCAACTTTGCCTTGTCACTACACTGCAGGAAATTTCTTAGATTGTATCTAGTTTCTAGTCCAAATATCTAAAAATTCCTAAATCAGGAAGCATTTTCTAGGCAAGTAAATCATATATGGTTTTCAGAAATAATCCCAAAAGTGAGTTTTTCCTTAAGAAAAATAATCTGCCAACGGTGTAAGAAAAATAATCTTGTTTTTGCTTTGAAATTAGATAATTTAGCTTGTCCCAAAAGTAGTTTTTTTACCCAGACTTAAAAAAAGAACAAATTTTAGAGCAGTTATCTCAGTACCTTTTACCGTAAAATCATATTTTTATCCAAGGTTATCATACCGTCAGAATATTATACCTGTCCATGCCTGCACCAAAACCATGTTTCAAACAATTAAGCTCATACAAGACCTATTGCAGGTTATAGCCTAGTATTAATGCTGTGGAAAATGACAAATCTCACCATCTAGCCTGTGACTCCTGTCTCCCACCCCAATCAAGACTTTGATCCGACCCACCATCTGCATACCTATTTGGAATTGTCTATCTTTGCTTTAACTAATGGGGATCTTTATACCTTAGTTGACGCCATTTCTGGCTTTCTGTAGGAGTATAACTGCTGTGTTGTATTGTAAGGCAGTAAGATGGGCCAGCGAACTCGAAGCGCAGAAACCTTACATGACTTAAAAATTATGACTTTTTAGTGGAAATATTTACAAAGAAACGAGTAGAGGACCTAATGCTAAGCCCTGTAGCACTCAATGGTTTAGATCAGAGATCACAAAACCTGTTCCTGCAGATTTTAGCTCCAACCCTGATCAAACACACCTGAACAAGCTAATCAAGGTCTTACTAGGTATACTTGAAACACCCTGGCAGGTGTGTTGAGGCAAGTTGGAGCTAAACCTTGCAGGGCACCGGACCTCCAGGAACGAGATTGGTGACCCCTGGTTTAGATGTTCTGTGTTGGTTTTCATGTCTGCTGTTTTGTGTCTTTTAACTGGTGTTTTTTCACTTTAGGGCTGGTGGAACTTTCAGAAGAGACTCGGGAACTGAATGAAATTGAAGAGAAAGATCAGTATAGGAAACACCAAGATTTAATGACCGATGTACCATCTTCAGTGGCAAAGAACACTTCATGTGAAGAAGCCGAGAAAACCAAACCTTTCCCCTGTCATCAGTGTGAAAAACGTTTTAGTCGAAAACAATGCCTTAAAGTTCACATGAGAATTCACACTGGAGAGAAGCTTTCCACGTGTGATCGTTGTGGAAAGATTTTCACTACAAAATCAGATTTTGAAATCCACATGAGAATTCACACCGGAGAGAAGCCTTACTCATGTACTGAGTGTGTAATGAGTTTCAGTGGAAAGCAAAAACTGGAAATGCACATGAGAATTCACTCTGGGGAGAAGCCTTTTGCCTGTCAACATTGTGGAAAAAGATTCAGCCGAATGGGTAGTCTTCAAGTACACTTTCGTGTTCACACTGGAGAGAGGCCGTACACCTGCCAACAGTGTGGCAAGAGTTTTTCTCAGAAGTCTTCCCTTAGGTCTCACATTATCCGTCACACTGGAGAGAAACCGTTTCCATGTGATCAGTGTGAAAAGAGATATGTATGTAGAGATCACCTTAACCGGCACAAGAGGATTCACGCTAAAGATAAATATTTCATATGTGATCAGTGCGGAAGCAGTTTTAAACTCAAAGAAAACTTTGACCAGCACATGAAGAATCACGCAGAGAAATCTTTCATATGCGATCAGTGTGGAAGGAGTTGCATTAGTAAATCAAGTTTTGAAAAACACATGAGAGTTCACACCGGAGAGAGACCTTACTCATGCACAGAGTGTGGAAAGAGTTTCGGTCAAAAGGAAACCCTTACAGCGCACATGAGAGTTCACACTGGAGAGAAGCCTTTTCACTGCCAGCATTGTGGAAAGAGATTCATTGCGTCATCTAAACTTAAGTCTCACATGAACGTTCACACTGGAAATAAGCCGTATACCTGCCGACCGTGTGGAAAGAGTTTCGCCCAATTACCAGCCCTTAAAGTCCACATGAGAGTTCACACCGGAGAGAGACCTTACACCTGCGCACAATGCGGAAAGGGTTTCGCCCAGAAAAAAGACTTTCATATTCACATGAGAACGCACACTGGAGAGAGACCTTTCACTTGCACGCAGTGTAATAAAAGCTTTATTTGTAAAGACACCCAAATTCGACACATGAGAACTCATTTCACTGGAAAGAAACCATTCGCATGTGATGAGTGCGGAAGGAGATTTATTTGTAAAAATTACCTCAACCTACACATGAAGATTCACACAGAAGAGATTACATGTCATCAGTCTGGAAAGAGGTTCACTGAAAGGACTCGCAAATTACACATGGCCAAGCAAGCCTGCAAGTCTGGCCACAATAACAATCCTCAAGATTTGCCCAAGTAAGCATTTCAGCCCTGTCTTGCCGATTAATCTAGCAACAAACATCCAATGCTGCTGCTGCGCCCTTTACAATTTACTCCACTGAAATGCCAGTAAAGACATGGGCTGTGTTTAAAACAAGCACCCAATACCCCTAAATAGTGCACTATTTCTAGTGCTGTCCGAAACCATAGTGAATGTTCTGAGGTGCACTCGATCAATCCCTCAACGCATTGCAATAACGAGTTTACAACCCATGTACAGGCAACAGCTAGAAACTCCCCATAATGCACTGCGAGAGTTTGTGCCTAAAAGGAATTCCCGCATCTGACCACAAGACGGCATTCCCAGTTTCTTAATACAATATTATTTACTTAAGTCAGGGGTGTCTAAACTCGGTCCTGGAGGGCCGGTGTCCTGCATATTTTAGTTTCAGCCCCAATTAAACACACCTGAACCAGCTAATCAAGCTCTCTCTAGGTATACTAGAAACTTCCAGGCAGGTAAACTGTGCAGGACACCGGCCCTCCAGGACCGAGTTTGGACATTCCTAACTTAAAGCCACGTAGTTAGCGAGTTTAGTGCTCCAATTCTGTCGCTAATTTCAGTCACTACTTTAAGTGGACTTGTGTACTGAATGGTGAACGAGGATACAGTGAGAAATCAAGACGGAGAAATCATTGCAGGATGCAGTTTCATGGCAGACTTTGTTGTTTAGGTTCAACTGCATTTTGACCAAGTGGAGATTGAATATCTGTTTTTAATTGAATACATTTGATAGAACTGATTAATATGAATAATAGCTTATTGGTAATCATATATTATGTTTATCAGAGCTGTCAAACGCGTGCGTTGCATCAAGAAAAGTAATTAATCGTTTAGTTCGAGGGTACCCAGTCCTGTTCCTGGAGATCTCCTTTCCTGCAGAGTTCAGCTCCAACCCTGATCAAACACACCTGTCATGTGCTCCTTCACTTCCTACTTGGTTTAAGCTGCATCCGAAACTGCATACTATCATATATTAAAGTACGCTAAAATCAGTATGCGAGCCGAGTAGTATGTCCAAATTCATAGAATTCTAAAATCAGTATGCGAGAAGTACCCGGATGGCTTACTACTTCCAGCGAGATTCTGCAGTAAGCATCCCATGCACGCTGCGCTATCCCATGATGCCCCGCGAGAGAATCCATGAGTGGGAGTGAAGCGACGCAACTGACACGGGTAGGTCACGTGACCATGACAAAATGGCGGATGTAGTGCGTCCGAATTCCATTCATACTACTCACAATTATACTGTATAGAACGTACTTTTCTAACAGCCGAGTAGTACGTTTACATTCAAATGCAGTACCTGCTGAGTAGTAGGCGGTCTCGGACGCAGCCTTTGATCAGGGTTGGAGCGAAACTCTGCAGGAAGGTAGATCTCCAGGGACAGGATTGGGCACCCCTGGTTTAGTTAGTTTATAGATTTGATTATTTGTCATTCATTTTGTTTTTACCTCTACTATTGTTGTTTGTAGAATTGTTGCTTTGTTTTTCTTGATATTTCATTTTCCTTATCGTTATACGTTTATGATCATGTGGAATTAAATTAAACCACTTTAATGAGTGAGAGATAAGAGAATGTCTCCGTTTTAATGCCAGTAACTTCCCATTGCTGTTGCTAGTGGCTTAATACAGGGTTTCTGCGGGGTCTTGAAAAGTCTAAAGTTTAAAAATCGAAATTTTAGGCCTGAAATCGTCTTAAATATTCAGTTCTAGGACTTAAATATTTTTGCACGGGTCTTATTTTTCTGATGTTCATGTAACGCTACATCTAATGCTCATTTAAATTCTTTTTTTTGTTGTTGTTGCTTGGTTTTTGTGGTGTTGTACTTCTTTATTTCACTAGTCTAAGTGTAATTTGCTGTATTACCACTACAAATGAGACCAACATGCAAGAGCCAATCAGCTTTCTGTTACTGAACTCAGTGCGAGCAGCGAATGTGACATCATTGCAGAGTTTGCGGAGGTCCGCTTTGGGTGCGTGCGACATGATTTCGGCTGACGGAACTACTCAATCAGTTTTTTTAGACTCGAGCGAACAGTTCCAATAGTATCTGGATGCAGCCTTTATGGTGCAAGCTGAGAGTGCATATCTCAGAGATGCAATGTCAGACTCAATGGAGCTAGTGACGTCACTTTGATTGTGATTGTGCGACGTCACTGCATTGCATGCACCTCAGATTGCATCTGCACCGAGTCTGCAGCCAGACCTCTGTTAACAGTTTGCGTGGCGCCGTGTTTGGGTTGAATATGAAACATTTTGAAAAGGTTTTTTTCTGGAACAGGGACGACTCTACAGACATCTTCATGATTTGTCCATGCGTGATCACAGGGATAACCAGATTAACAATAATTCTTTGCTAGAGATTGCAACAGCAGTGGGAAAGGAGGAAAGTTGTTGTAGTCAAAAGGAGTTTGTTAAAGCCAAAGGAGGTCATGGCAAAAGTGGAGACCCAGGTACACAATGTTTTTCCACCATTCCTAGGTTTTACACTGATGTAAATTGTACAATGCTTCAAAGATTGATTCATAAAATCTTACAATATAAAAAAAAATATATAAAAAATAATTTGTTAAAAAATCTTGACAATATTAATGACATGTAGTTCTGGAAACTTCCTACCTCTGTTTATCTGTCTGACTTTACGGTGGCTTTCTTTTGACCGCCCCTGTTGTTTTAAGATGTTTGTTAGTTTTTTTTCTTTCTGTTGTTCAATGATGCATTTTAAACTTTCTTAATTACTGTTCAATTTGAATAAATTTATTTTACCACTAATTTTGTGTGTTTTTTTATGCATTTTCTCTTCATGTGTATGCGTGTTTTTAATATTGTGATAGTCTTATATTGAATACTCTTAAAAATGTATTACTTTAATGAAAAATTTTAAATTTGACACTATGAAATCTGCAGAAACCCTGTAATAACTCTTGTTAGATTTGTCCTGATCAGACGATGTCTGAGCATTAAAACATACAGAACTGTGATTTTCAATAAACTCTGCTCTTTCTTTGTCATCATTACTTTGTCTCCTGCTTCTGCTCTTTGTCTTCCTCATTTTCAACTCCTATATTAATTCAGTTCTGAGTACTGATTAACAATATGAGTTTCTTAAAAACCACATCATTTCTCCTGCCACCAAACTTTCTTCTTGAATAAGGTACAAAAGTCCACACACAACACAAACGCGCGCAATACATATAAGTTAAGGATACACACCGAATATATACTATTTAGCATGTAGTGTTTTTGTAATATAAAGTGTGTGTGCTCTATTGGAGAATGTTGAGGTGTTTTTCTTACAAAGTCGCTAGTTAGAAGTTAGTCAAAGTTGTTAGACTTTTATTTTGGTACTCTGTGATGACGTCATAAGCCCGCACCGCGCTTTCGTGTTTGCTGTTCAACGAAAAGGTTTGTCTTAAACGCTGCAGCCTCGTTTAAACCAAATTATAGTTTATTTTTAACAAGTATTGCCAAACTAATAAATATAACCGTGCGATAGTTAAATTAACTTTTATTTAAAAACTTAATTAGTTTAAAGCGAACGCGAGTAGCAGAAACGGCGCGTCTCATTTCTCCGTCGTGAATCTGTGAGTAAAACAAACGTGAATTCAGTAGCGATAAAAACAGCTTTCAGAACTCATTTCAGTCTAAATGATCCGTTTTATTGCGCTGATAAAGTAAATAAATATCTTTTAATAACTCTTATTTATTTTACCAGCAACATTGTTCACACACAAACGCTTTTCTGTCTCTAAAACTGGTTTCTTATTTTGTTGTAAAGATGTAAAACATTACCTGGACACGATTTCTGCCTCCAGCAGTGTTTAAGCTTTAACATGGAGAGCACATGTGACTCTTATATTGTAGTCTGTTTTCTATAATCTACATTTGACTGTATTGTCTGTGATATTTTGTCGGTGACCATTGTTGAGGAACTTTTAAACATGTTATAATTAATATTACCTCTGTCATCCAGTCAAAACAGTGTAAATGCACACAAGCTAGCTTTACAAACTCTGTGTGTTCATGAACATACGATATTAATAATTACGCTGGTCAGTACATTCATTTTTATTGTTTATTTCTGTTGTTTTTCTCCTCTTAAACAGAGTAAAGTGACTAAACGCAGAGGAAAACTCCTGGAGAAGCGACTGAGCTCTGCTCTTCATTATCATCTACTGTTATAAAGATGGCGTTAATTAAAGAGGAGAATGAAGATCTGAGGATTAAAGAGGAGAGTGAAGATCTGAGGATTAAAGAGGAGAGTGAAGATCTGAGGATTAAAGAGGAGAGTGAAGATCTGAGGATTAAAGAGGAGAGTGAAGGTCCGAGGATTACAGAAGTGTTCACACTGAAACATGAAGATCCCGAGGAACAAACAGGTTAGTTTTATTAGGGCTGCACGATTTGGGAAAAATATCACATTGCGATTATTAAGGTAAAAATTGCAATTGCGATACGATAAACAAGTGGTATGACTCAACTTGCTTGTTATCAATAAAAATGCACACACAGATTACTAATAATGCTAAAATTTTTATTTTTCAAAGTTTTTCAAAGTTAAAGTATTCCGGCACCAGGCCAGATCTCCGGTGTGCGGCCGTGAAATAACAAAAGAAAAGTATATATTTTAGAGCTTGCGCATGCGATTTAATTAGGGATGCTCAAAATAACCGATTAGCCGAAAGGGTGCGTTTGTAACCGATTATTGGTATCAGTTAAACTATATACTGATATATAAATTAATTTATAAATTTTTAAAGTTTGGCTGCATAAGGGACATCTGTTAAAGGGTTTACTGATGCTGTGTTCACACCAGACGCGGAACACGCGGATAAATCGCGCGTAAATAGCCGCGTGAACGTTTGAGTTTACTCGCTTCATTCGCGTGTCAAATTCACATCAGAACAGACGCGGATTCGCGTGATGGGCAGGGCTTCTGTCTTTTAAAGACTCTAGCTTCATAGCTAAATGGCTAACATGGATTTTATTGAGAAAATAACAGTGTTTATGTGCTTTATGAAGACTGAAAAACAGTGTCGATACAATTAGGGTCGTGTCTGAGTCCACTACATTCTTTCAGAGGTGCATCCAGCTCTGTGAGCTCATAAACTCCTCCAAAAACTGAACCTGGATCACGAAGGCTTTCAACGGTGCTTCTGACTGAGCCAAGCCCAGTTTGATGAACTGTTGTCGGTGAAGGGTGGAGGATTTCCCTAGGAACACAGACAACAGGTTCTACGTCACAATCACGCCCCCACAAGAGCAAGCTTCTGATTGGTTAACGCGGCGCGAATGTCCGGTGAAGTTCATATTTTTAAAATCGAGAGATTCGCGCGAAACGCTCGTTAAGCGCGTCAAATGCGCAAAACGCTCAATTGGCCCTGCGCCATTCGCGCAATTTGCGTCATTCGCACGTATCGCACCGCAGGATGTCTATTCGCGCGTTTACATTGACTTAACATGTAAATCACTCGCGTTCCGCGTCTGGTGTGAACGCAGCATGATGGTCGCAACCCGCAAGTGTGTTACACTCTCGTTATGCTCGCTCGCTCACGCGCCTCAAGTTTCGCCGATGCGCGCTGTGTGCTCGAGCGGAAAAAGCGTGTTACCTAATTCGCCCTTCAGTCGCGTCTTTTTCATTCTTCAGTCCAGTGAAAGCACTGCAGGGTTTCTGTTGAGGTGACAGCGGGGTTTGCAAGTTTCAGCAAGTTCAGCCATGAACCTCATTGGAAAACCTATTACATCGCCAATCTGGAAACATTTTGGATTCGTGGCGCACGAGAAAGGCGAACCAATAATTAGGTGAAGCTTTTATATAGGTAATACGTTTTAAATGGACAAACAAATCTCAAATATCCAGAGCAAGGTTATTATAGTTAACGAAAAAACGAAAACTAAAATGTTAAATAATTGTCGTTAACTGAAATAAAAATAAAAACGAGTTTTTTCAAAAACTAGATCTAACTGAAACTGTATTGTGTGCATACAAAACTAACTGAAACTAACTAGAATTATAGCAAAAACCTCCTTCGTTTTCGTGTTTGTAAATGTATTTAATACATAATCTTACTGTAAGCCTTTTAGAAGTGAATATAATCCGCACTGCAGGTATTTGTGCAAGACCCTTTCGCACCTCAGTGTCTCCTGCTGCCATTGGCCAGATCGAGCCAGCTCTCCTCCAGTCATCCTCGCTGTTGCTCCCGCGACAAAAACAACTAATGGACATGACAGCAGCACGGCGACAGCATTAAATAAAGAGGCTTAAAGGTATTACTTTAACACGTTTGTGCCCAATAATAGGGTTTATTTCTGTATCGCGATCGCGAACGAATCTTTTTAACCGGATCTTCTAAGTGAACCGGTTGAACTAGTTTACCAAATCGAAATGAATCATTTGAAACGATTCGCGTCTCCAGAGAGCAGTTATCCACCAACTACTTACTTTATAACAAGCCTAATACCCACATCTGACTCTAAATAATCCATTATATACTCTTATTCAGTTATTAGAACAGTAACGTTACATTGAGAAGCGGTGAACCGATAATATTGCACATGCATGATTCAGTGAACCAAACACAGTACAGCCTTCTGTGTGACTGAACTGTTATTGTAACAACTGCAGCGCGGGTAAACCGATTGCTTAAATGAGAGGATCTGGTGAAAAACGTAAGTTTATTTCATAACAGACAATCGTAATGGAGTTTAAATAAGTGAATCATGATTCAGTTGGGTTTACAGTTAGTAAAACTTTACTGTAAGACATTTTTCAGATCATGATGATGTTTTAACTGACTGAATTTACTATTGCTGACTACATAATGTTGAGTCCTAACATCCGCGTTAGAAATCTGAATTTCCCATCACGAGGAACGGATTAATAATTTAAAGGCACAATGTATTGCAGCCTCCCTATAGCCGCACCCCATAGTTGAATTAAAAATAATATTGATATAATATTTGTAAAATAAAATCAATCTATAATGTATCGCCCACATTTTTAAAATTATAAATTATATATACTACATATATTTCTAGTCTACAAAGATTTAACTTATTTTTAAAGCATTGAAAGCACAAAAATACAACTCAGGGAAATTAATGAATTTTAATATACTTGTTCAAGTTCACTGAAGCAGTCCTAAATTTATTTTTAAGGGTATTTTTAATGTATAAGTTGTACAAACTTATAATGCACATGATTTGGATAACACCTCTCCAATCCAGTTCTAGGAATCTGATAATACACACATAATACACACACTTATTATATATGATGATAGTGTTTATGTGTCCTCTGAATACATGTTTCCAAAAATGTGTGGCGGCATTTTTATTATACAATATTTATACTGTTGATTTTTAAATCTTGCACCTAACAAATGTCCTCATTTAGAAAAAAGCTGAAACTAATAAAAACTAAACTAAAACTAAGACATTTCAAAATATAGAAACTAATAAAAACTAGTAAATCTGCCTTTAAAACGAATTAAAACGAACTGAATTTGAAAACAAGAAGTCAAAACGAAATAGAAACTAAAACTAATCTGCGGTCATGTCACCTAGCCACCCATGACATGCGGAGCTGCAGCGTCATGTCATCTTCTGAACGCAAACGCCCAGCTATAGGTATGGCAGAGGCCTTTTCAAAAATGGCCAAATACAAACGAGAAAGCGATCAATAGTAGACGTTGATGAGAAATGGAGCAGAATATTTAGTAGTTGAGAACGCGGCGCTCCTCAATGTAGAGTGGTCAGCTTTCCGAGAAATGCGGGCGGCGGAGCAAGATACCCTCTCTTCGGTTGCAAAAAAGTATCTGCATTTGCGCTACAGTCAACCCGTCTGAGCGTGTATTCAGTGCTACGAGAAACATTGTCCCAATTAGACCTCCGCTTAAACCGGAAAAAGTCAACATGTTCGTTTTTCTGGCAAAGAATTAAAAGTATTAGTAGAAAACAAAAGGCGGAGAGACGCTGTTGTTTTAACATCTGACTTATATTGTGAAAAGCCTACGCTAATATTTTTCTTATTATTAGTTACTATTCATATTATTATTGATTAGTTAAGTATAATTTTAGACTGTTTGTGACGTTCTTAATGTAACGTTTAATTGTTATTATACTGTTTCAAGCTGTAAAGTTATTTAATATTTAGGCTAGCTACATTATTGTTGGCTGTATTGTGTTGTTTTATCAACGAAAGTTAAACAAACACGTTTGTACAGATATTTTAGCATAATACTTTGTTCTTTGATATTTCTTAATTTTTACACAAAATGTAAAGTAACTTATGTAGGCTACAGGGGCGTAATTTGTTGGTGGTACGGGAGGAATATTTTGCCAGTGAATATCATTTAAAAAAATTAAATGAATAAATAAAAACACCTTACGGATAGAATTAATGAAGGAAAAGCATGATCTTAATCTTCGTTATCTGATTCATGCAATAAACTTTTATTGCGCCGACAAGAACAAGCTCTCAAAGGTAAAGTCTAAAGCGAAAGGGATTATTGATGTTATTAATATCTTGTTAATATTAATGATCATAAACATAACCTGCGTTGTAGCTTTAATAAACGCCGTTACTGTGTCGTGTCAGATTTTACAGTTCTATGGCAGGAGGTCTTCACAATCGCATAGAGTTCGCTGGCCGATCTCACTGCCTTACAACAACACAGCAGTTATACTCCTACAGAAAGCCAGAAATGTCGTCAACTGAGGTATAAAGATCTCGATTGGTTAAAGCAAAGATAGACAATTCCAAATAGGTACACGGATGCAGGGTCATATCCGAGTCTTGAAAAGGGATGTAGCCAGGATTCACAGGCCAGACCGCCTGCAGGTTATTCAGAGCTGATCCGGTTTGGTGCTGCTTGATATCACTCAACATTGGATTTGACAAATGGATAATGGCAGATCCCCTTAACTCCTATAACCTGCGTAAAACAGTCTTGTGTTCAGACGCTGTTTGGATCACACCGTTTTATGACACTTCCGTTCGGGCTGTTCGGGGCACTGGATACGTCTCAGCGCCTGATAGACAAAATACTCGCTCCTCACGCAGCATCTGCAACATCATAGGGCAGTATTATCAGCGCTAAGACGGGCCAGGCTCACGGACAACGCGAAGAAGTGCGCAATTGGGCGAGTGAAGGTAAGGTATCTGGGCTTCCACTTGAGTCACAGACTGTTTTTCGCAGGTTATTGGAGTTAACCTCCTGCCATAGAACTGTAGACTATCTTCAGTAAAAAAAAAATTTTGTTTTTATAGAATTTCCAACTCTGAATCTTTTGATCTAACACAGCAGTTAAGTTTTATTAACAAAATGAGTATAAGACTTACTACTCCTTATAAGATTTAAGACTTTTAAAGAGTTTAGGACCCACAGAAACTTAATGACAATAAAAATGTAAACTTTTTAGTGAAAATATTTACAAAGATAGAAGTAGAGGACCTAATGCTGAGCCCTGTAGCACTCAATGGTTTAGATATTCTGTGTTAATTTTCATGTCTACTGTTTTGTGCCTTTACGCTGGTGTTAACTTTTTTTTTTTTCACTTTAGGGCTGATGGTGCTGAAAGAAGAGGCTCAAGAACTGAATGAAATTGAAGAGAAAGATCAGTGTGGGAAACACCCAGATTTAATGACTGGTAAACCATCTTTACCGGCAAAGAACACTTCATGTAAAAGAGCTGAGAAAACCAAATCTTTCCCCTGTCATCAGTGTGGAAAACGTTTCAGTAAAAAACAAAACCTTAAAATCCACATGAGAATTCACACTGGAGAGAAACTTTTCACATGTGATCAGTGTGGAAAGAGTTTCAGTCACAAACACAGCTTTGAAATGCACAAGAAGATTCACACCGGGGAAAAGCCATTTGCCTGTCAGCATTGTGGAAAAAGATTCAATAAAATGAGTAATCTTAAAGTTCACATTCGTGTTCACTCTGGAGAGAGGCCGTACACCTGCCAACAGTGTGGAAAGAGTTTCGCATGCAAGTCTGCTCTTAGTTTTCACATTATGCGTCACACTGGAGAGAAACCGTTCACGTGTGATCAGTGTGAAAAGAGATATGTATGTAAACGAGAGCTTAACCGGCACAAGAAGATTCATGCAAAAGACAAATGTTTCAAATCTGATCTCTGTGTAGGTCTGGCCACAATACCAATCGTCAAGATTTGCCCAAGTGAGCATGTCAGTTTTTGTTTTGCCAATTAATCTAGCAACAAACATCCAATGCTCCTGCGCCTCTTTATGATTTACTCCACTGAAATGCCAGTAAAGACATGGGCTGCTATCTACAATCAACAGCTAGAAATTCCCCATAATGCACTGCGAGAGTTTGTGCCTCAAATGAATATCCACATCTTACCGCAAGACGGCATGCCAAGTTTTTAAAGGGGTGGTCCACTACGATCTCATATTTCAAACTTTAGTTGGTGTGTAATGTAGCTGTGTGAACGTAAACAACATCTCCGAATGTAAAAAGTTCTAAGTTCAATGCAAAGGGAGACCTTGGGTTTTACAGAGTTAGCTTAGCAAAGCCTACGATGAACGAATTTTGGGGACTACAAAAAATACTTCCGCCTCCTGTGAGATCACAAGTTCGTTACTGCGCATCCCACACTGCGCAGGTAAGGGCCGTGGCCAGAGGCGCTGTAACGTTATAGCAGAGATGAAGCTAAAAATGCGTCTAAACACGGCTGCTTCTACAGAGCTTCGTCTTTTTCTGTATTTGGGCTTGCAAAGGACACGACTCAAACACAGAAGTGCTTGCAGTTCAATATAAATTATATTCCAGAGAATTATAGAATACTCAGCAAGCATGATTTGACAAAACAGCTCCAGAATCTCTCCCAGTTCAGTGCTGGATTCGGCTAAAATCTCCTCAAAGCAGAAGTTGTGAGCTACAAGTAAGTGTTTTTATTTGTTAAAATTGATCATGACATGTTCAGTGTCTAGCGTTAACGGTATGCTGTAGCAACGATGTAAACAATGCGAAATGCTGCTTTGCGGGCAAACGATTTAGCTACAAATTCATATTTATCAGTCAAACTGCTGTAAACACACACACACTCCACCAGCACGTTCGTGTCTCGTGTGTGCGCACGGGACTGCACTGATTGTCTTCAGGCAGCTTTTCCACGTGTTTCACATCTCAGATAATGAAGTCGCAAAAGATATGTGGATGATTCATATTACTTACACCTGCAGATTCCGGATACACATGAAAGACGTCGTGTAACGCATTGAGTTAACAAAAAAATACAGGTTAGCTTACCTGACTCGTGGTCGCAGCAGAATAATAAATCAAGGCTCAACAGTTAGCATCTCACATCTTGTGCTTTATTCTTCTGTCACGATATATTACAGAAAATAACTTAATCCGAGCATCAGAGAAAAATAAAGTCCTTCACACATGCGCTTGTTACAGAAAGTTCACACATTCACACCACACACAGAGACGCTGTTAAAGGAGCCGCACCCCATTTTCACTCATTACAGACACTTGTCAGATGTTATTTCAGAGAGCGGGCGGGAGGTTAACTGCATGTTTACACGGCAGACAAGCGCGTGCTTATATGGGCGTGACGTGGAGCCAATCCACGAATAGCAGCACATTATGACGATGACCAATCAGAGTCACTTAAGGGCGGGCCTTTCAGAGGAACTAGGAAATATGACAGTCGTTTTCATGTTAGCTGAGTAGCTGTGTAAAATCAAAGTGAGATATCTGAAAAAATAACGCGACTCCCTTCAAGTGAAACATGAGCACACTTTGCTTTGCATCTTATAAACACAACCAAGCCTTAAAATTACATTCTGGACCACCCCTTTGAATCATTATTATTTACTTAAAGCCACATAGTTTTAGCGAGTTAGTGCTCCAATTCTCTCGCTCATTTCAGTCACTACTTTAAGTGGACGTGTGTACGGAATGGTGAAGGAGGATATAGTGTGTGATCTCAGAGCAGGGCTTAATTTGTGCCGGAACACGCCAGATCCGGCACCTGATTCCCCCGCCCCAAACTTCACAGATATCCAGGAACCGGATTGGGCACCCCTGGTTTAGTTTGTTAATAGATTAGAGTTTTTTTTTGTCTCATTTCATTTTGTTTTTACTTTTAGTATAGTTTTTGTAGAATTATTGCTTTGTTTTTCTTGGTATTTCATATTCCTTATAAGTTTATGATCGTGTGGAATCAAAGTAAACTGTGTTAATGAGTAAGAGATAAGAGAATTTCTCCATTTTAAGGGCAGTAATCTTCCATATGGGTGTTTTTGATATTGTGATATAGGTCTTAAATTTAATACTTAATCGTCTTAAAAAGTTTTAAATTTGACACTATGATATCTGCAGAAACCCTGTAATAACTCTTGTTAGATTTGTCCTGGTCAGACGATGTCTGAGCATTAAAGCATACAGAACTGTGATTACTCAATAAACTCAGCTTTCTTTGTCATCATTACTTCGTCTCCTGCTTCTGCTCCTCTTTGTCTTCCTCATTCTCAAGTCCTATATTAATTCAGTTCTGTGTACTGATTAACAGTATGAGTTTCTTAACAACACATCATTCCTCCTGCTGCCAAACTTTCTTCTTGAATAAGATGCAAAGGTCTACCTTTTATCCTGTTACCCCTCTCCTCTTCTCAGTAAACTTTATTTAATTGATTGCATCTCAGGGTCTCAAAACTTTCCCCATAATAATGCAGAGCTGTCTTTTAGTCAAATCCTACACACACACAATACATATAAGGATACACACCAAATATATACCATTTAGCATGTTGTGTTTCTGTAATATAAAGTGTGTGTGTGCACTATTGGATGTTGAGAGGTTGATGGGATTTTTTTCCCCCCAAATCGCTCAGTCCTGTGTTAGACTTTTATTTTGGTACTATGTGATGACGTCACAAGTACGCGCCGCGCGTTCGTGTTTGCTGTTCAACGGAAAGGTTTGTGTCTTAAACGCCGCAGCCTCGTTTAAACAAAATTAAAGTTTATTTTTTTACAAGTAATGCCAAACTAATAAATATAACCGTGTGATAGTTAAACTAACTTTTATTTACAAACTTAATTAGTTTAAAGTGAACGCGAGTAGCAGAAACGGCGCGTCTCATTTCTCCGTCGTGAATCTGTGAGTAAAACAAACACGTGAATTTAGTAGAGATAAAAACAGCTTTCAGAACTCATTTCAGTCAAAATGGTCCGTTTTATTATGCTGATAAAGTAAATAAATATCTTTTAATAACTCTTATTTGTTTTACGAGCAACATTGTTGACACACAAACGCTTTTCTGTCTCTAAAACTGGTTTCTTATTTTGTTGTAAAGTTGTAAAATATTACCTGGACACGATTTCTGCCTCCAGCAGTGTTCAAACTTTAACATGGAGAACACATGTGACTCTTATATTGTAGTCTCTTCCTATAATCTACAGCTGACTATATTAACTGTGATATTTGTCTGTGACCATTGTTGAGGAACTTTTGAAACATGTTATAATTGATATTACCTCTGACATCCAGTCAAAACAGTGTAAATGCACACAAGCTAGCTTTACAAACTCTTGTGTGTTCATGAATGTGCAATATTAATAACTACACTGGTCAACACATTCATTTTTATTGTTTATTTCTGTTGTTTTTCTCATCTTAAACGGAGTAAAGTGACTAAACAAAGAGGAAAACTCCTGGAGAAGCGACTGAGATCTGCTCTTCATTATCATCTACTGTTATAAAGATGGCGTTAATTAAAGAGGAGAATGAAGATGTGAGGATTACAGAAGAGAGTGAAGGTCCGAGGATCACAGAAGTGTTCACACTGAAACATGAAGATCCTGAGGAACAAACAGGTTAGTTTTTATTTCTCGAAGCTGAACTCAGAGTCATTTAATCCTCAATCAAATGTGCAGCTCTAAATAAATAAATCATAAATATACAGCTGTAGTGTACCATGTTCATCTATAAACATGTTGTGTTCCTCTAGTCTAGTCTCCTTTATAGAAACCCTGATAATGTAATGAAGGCCTTTTGTTGAAGTATTAAATGCCTCATAAAATATTTACTCATTGAAAACAGACTTTAAAATCATTTATAGATTTGCGCTTCCTGTCTGCTACACGAGACACGCTTAGCGCATGTTGTAGTAAACTGGTGTAGAATCATTTAATTAGGTTATGGGTCATAAAATAAACACAAACGAGTTCCTTGGGTTTTTGAAATAAATACTATAGTAATGTAGAGTAAATGCTGGTGGTTTTGAAGCATGCTAAAGTGCATTATGCTGTCTGTGTTATAATATAACTCTTTGTTAATGAATGCTGCAGCGCGTTAGTCACATTTGAATGTTTCAGATCATCAAACCAGAGCTCGAGAGTGCAACTGAATATTAGTGGTGGGCAAAGCGAGGCTTCGTGAAACACTGAAACTATCGAAGCAAATGTGTCGAAGCTTCGAAACGTTTCGAAACACCACTCTACGGCGACACCTAATGGTCATTTTAATTGTATTTCACTGAAACAGTTTCAGCAAAGAACAGTTGAGCAAATTAGGGTATGAAACCCCACTTTGTAGCCATAAATCTGCAAGTGGTTTAGACGAGCGGTTAGAGTCCGTGACCACCATGCGGGAATAATGGGTTCGAATCCAAATAGAAATAATTATTTTAAAATGCTTTAATACCAGTTGGTAATGCTTTGTTATTGTATCGTTTTGTTTCAACATTGCTCTGACATACGAATAAACACCTTGTAAATAAATTTGTATTGTTTTGTTCATAAAACAGGGTTGTTGCTAGATCAGATACAGTCGTGGCCAGAAGTTAACAATAATTATTTATATTATTAATTAAATTTCCCATTGTATTTTATTAACGTCTATCCAAAACCTAAACCCATCACAGTACTGTAAAAATATGAATTATTGTTTTACAGTGTTACAAAAATGATGCTAAATTGATGGCATATCCGGAGCTGTATCCTATCTAGACTACACCATAAAACAGTAACATGATTAAAATATATTAAATCATGATTTTGTAGTATTTGGACTAGTCGGGATTCGAACCCAAACAAAATTATAACACAGTACTGTTGTGCACACGCAGAGTCCACTAAGCCATACAAGATACATATACGTTATTGATCATGCCAGTCAAATGCAGATTTTCCGGGTCTTGAAACGCCTCTGAAATGATCAATGCTTTGAATCGCTTTAGTCACGTGACCAAGTGTTTCGAAACACTTTAGTCACGTGACCTGGGTGTTTCGGATCATGCTTCGGTGCAGTGTTTCGAAACACTTGCGCTTCGGGATCTCGACACTGTGTCGAAACGTCAGTTTCACGTCAGCCATCCTTACTGAATATTTCAGTGGTGCGACTAATAAAATCTGAAGGTGCACGGGTGCGATCAGCTATTCGAGGGCAAAAATGACATTTTAAAAGTCTCACACTGTTGAATAGACACAAACTTGGGATGCTAAGTTTGGTTAACTTTTCTAACGACAGCTGTATTTTTCGTATATGAACTGTTTACTGATCAGGGGTGCGTTGTGTTAGGGTGCTTTCACACCTGTGAATCGATACAGTTGTTCCGAAACAGAGATTACAATTGTTACATTGTTGCTCTTTGCTCTTGGAGCGGTTCGCTTTCACACTGCAAAGTTTCTAATCGGTCCAAAAGAGCTAAAACAAGTCACGTGCGAGTAAACTCTCCTTACATTGGTCAGAGTGTCAGGGTTTATTTTGCAGCGTCCCGCTCAGCTGTCAGGAGAGGTGGTGGTTTGGTGGTGATTGACAGGGTGCGCGCGTGACGTGTCTGAGGAGAGACGCGGTGGGGAGGGGTGAGAAGGGTGCGCGACGATGCCTATTTGAGGACCGGGAGGGAGACGCAAGATTACCGGGAGATCATCACTCGTTTGCGTGCATCCGGAGACTTGCGAAACTTCTCGCCCTACTCATAATTCTCTCTTCATATAGCCGTATGCCTATTACATATCCATAAAACACTGTGATATAACCGCGCTCGGATCGGATCGCTTTCTCACTGCAATCGAACCGCTCCAGGGTTCGTTTCAATCGAGCCGAGACCACCTCACTCAAGCGATCTCGGAGCGATTACTTTGGCGCGGAACAGAGCGCGATTGCCCTGTTCACATATGCCAAACGAACCGCGCTAACTGGGCAAACGAGACACGTTCCGAAACAAAAGTGTAGGTGTGAAAGCACCCTTATTCGCATATTAAGTGAGGTTTATTTATGAACTAATTTCGAGGAGATCACGTGCTTATGATTTATCACAGCCAGTCTCATATTAGCTAATCATTATCTTCCAATCATATGAGCCCTAGGCTACTATAAATAAGGCAAGGCAAGTTTATTGATATAGCACATTTCATTCACCATGGCAATTCAAAGTGCTTTACATAAACAAGAATAAAAGAAACAAGTAAAATAAAAACAAATAATGGAAATGAGTAAAAAAAAAAAGAACTGCAATCTTTTATAGAAGTTTGTGGCAGTTTGTTCAACAGTGAGAATATGAATTAATCCCATCCAGAGGCATTTTTACAGCCGTGTTTTCCCGTCTCCGGAATGTAGGCAGCTGGTATCTGGAGGATTGTCTAGACCAGGGGTCACCAATCCTGGTCCTGGAGGGCCGTTGTCCCTGCAGGGTTTAGCTCCAACTTGCCTCAACACACCTGCCTGGATGTTTCAAGTATACCTTGTAAGACCTTGATTAGCTTGTTCGGGTGTGTTTGATTAGGGTTGGAGATAAAATCTGCAGGACACCGGCCCTCCAGGAACAAGTTTGGTGACCACTGGTTTAGACGGTAATTCCCCTCTTGTTAGTAAAGCTATATTCCCGAACGTTTGCAGAATCGATGCTGATCTTCAAGCTGTGTTGTTTGAGCACTGTGCTGATAGGCTCAAGTTAAAATTAGGCTATAAGATATAAAAGCAAGAGTGCGAAGAGCGGAGCAGTAGGCAAAGATGTCGGAACATTAGCAAAGCAGGAAGTTTTGAAATAACCAGTTTTCAGTCCACATTTGGAAGAAACTCCCCTATTCTCCTCCTTTTCTATAGATCGGGTGGCACGGCGGCCCAGTGGTTAGCACTGTGAGCCTCACAGCAAGAACACTTCCTGCCCTGGTCCACCAGGCCGGTAGGTGTTTCTGTGAGTAGGTTGTATGTTCTCCCTGTGTCGAGTTCTTCGTTTTCTCACGTGTTCTCTTAGCTACCGCAGCCGGGGAGTTCTGAGATCCACCGAGCTTAAGCTCCCCTCTCGCTCTGCGAACGGGAAGAAGCCCCGGCCTTGAGGATCCCTTGAGCTCGGGGCTCTCTCCCGGGACAGCATGCCAAACAAGCTTTTAATAGATCATCAGCTGAACTCATGAACTGTTATCCGATCAGGGGTGCTTTTCCCAAACAACAACGTAACTCACGGCTGAACTATTATAGTGCGATGCATTATTTGGGAAAAGAACAATGTAGTGACGAGTGTTTCCCGAAACTCGTAGTTTCTCTGTCGCAGATCTATCGTTTGAACTATGTTAGTAATAACGTAAAACGCCCATAATGATGCTCTAAACGGACTGGAATAAGAACTTCTTTAGAGAAGAACCCATCATTACTTTGTGCAAATTATACTGTTTTACACTCATTAAACAAAATCCAATATTAGTGTTGGTAAAAACATGCACTCGCTTTCCATATTAATTAAAATATATGTACATGGCTCATATAGGGCCTGTGTTTGCTTTACAAATATTATTGAGAACATTACATATCCTATTCTAAAACAAAATCACTTACAAAAGCGAACACCTAATCTAATCTCATATATAAATCAATGAAATAAATAAATAATGAGGCTTTTTTTTGTAGAAATGTAGTATTTATTAGGAAATTAAAGACATCCTATTTTAATAATAATATTAATGATGATGACGATTATTATTAAGTAGGATTTTGTTAATTTTTTTGAGAAGTCTACTTTTACAATTTGACACTTGTAAACCACTGCAGAAATGTCATATACAGTACAGATACTTCGTAAACAACCTACTGTAAATTAAAAGCATTAACGTATGCTGTGTTTTTTTTGTTTTCACAAGCTTTGGAGACGTACCACGAGTTCCGTTTTTAAAAAATAGGTCACCTACAGGTGTGTTCAAAATGACATCGATGTTTTCAATGTGCACTGTGAAGGGAGCGCAATTGTAAACATGAAGATCGCTAAATCCGAGCTGTAAAAATGCTTTGAAAGCAAATTACACCTGAGAGAGATGACCTTAATGCTTTTTTTTAAACATTACAAGTTTAAATGTTAGAATGTTCTAAACCAGTGGTTCTCAAACTTTTTTGATCAAGTACCACCTCAGAAAAAAATTGTCTCTCCAAGTACCACCAAAATAAGCAGTATTGAAATACAGTAGTCTAGTAGGCCCAGTAAAGCAGCTACAGCTCTGCACAGTTAAAAAACATGGCAGATTACCTTAGAAATATAGGCTATATGTCATATATGACATATTCACACCATACCTGTCAACCCCTTCCGTTTTTCCTGGGATTCTCCCGTATTTTACAGTTCTATCCCGCTATCATCCCGTAAAGGTATTTTCCCGTACTTCTCCCGTATTTTCAGTCTTTCTCTGAACAGCCGAGCCTCCCTATACGCAACCCATACCGCCGCACCACCAGGGGTCGCCCCTTGCTCTAAAACATGAGTCTTCTGGGCTTTCACTTTGTTTAGGAATGAAAACGCTTATAAATGAATATTAAAAACGGCGCGATTCCATTTTCTTTTGATTACAGGTGCCGTCGCCCATCCTATACGATCCCTAAAACAGTT